GTTACTTTTCTGAGATCATGCATGGAAATTTTACAGAATCAATCTGAGTTTGGAAGGAACCTCTGGAGCTTGTCTGCTCTAACTCCCCTGCTCAAAGCAAGGTCAGCTAGAGCAAATTGCTCAGGGCCATGTCCAGTCAGGCTTTGAATATCTGCAAGGATGGAGACCCCACAACCTCTTTAAGCAAGCTGTCCAAACATTTGACCATCCTCACAGTAGAAAGTTTTTTCTTACATTTAAGTGGAACTTCCTGTATTTCAGTTTGTTTCCATTGCCTCTGGTCCTGCCTCTGACCTCCACTGAGAAAAGTCCGGCTCCATCTTCTTAATCCCTCCCCTACAGAATTTGTACACACTGACAAGACCCCCACCGCTTCCTGTTCCAAACCTTTTCTCATTGAGGCTAAACAATCCCAGCCCTCTCAGCATCCCCTTATATGACAGGTGCTCCAGTCTCTTCATCACCTAGCCCTTCCCTTGAAGGGAAGCCCTTCCCTCCAGTATATGCATCTATTTCTTGTACTGGTGAGACCCAAACTAGATATCGCACTGGTCTAGTTGGTGCTAAGTAGAGGAGAATAACCATCTCCCTTGACCAGCTGACCATGCTCTTCCTAAAGCAGCCCAGGATCCTGTTGGCCGCCTTGCCACAAAGGCTTATTGCTGGTTCACAGTCAACTTGGTCACTACCAGCACCCCCATGTCATTCTTAGCAGAGCTGCTTTTCAGCTGGCCAGCCTCGCCTGTACTGGTGCTTAGTTATTCCCCCTCATGTGCAGGACTTGAATCTTCATCTATTGAACTTCATGAGATTCCTGTTGGTCCATGCCTCTGACCTCTCAAGATCCATCTGAATGGCAGCAAAACCATCTGGTGTATAAACTGCTCCTCCCAGTTTTGTATCATCTATGTATCTGCAGAGGGTGTCCCATCATCTGGGTCACTGGCAGACACATGAAACAGTACCGGCCCAGTATTGACCCCTGCAGTACAGCACTAGAGACTGCTTTCCAGGTGGACTTTTTGCCCCTGATCACAACCCTTTGAGCCTGGCAGTTTGTTTGGCCACTTTTCAATTCACATCATTGTCAGCTTGCCTAGTCCGTACTTCATCAGTTTGTCTGTGCCAATCTTATGAGAGACAGAGATGAAAAACTTGCTAAAGTAAACATTCACTGTTCTCCCCTCATCCACTGAGCTAGTAATTTTATTGTGGAAGGCTATCAGGCTGGTCAGGCATGATTTTTCCTTTGTAAATGCACAAAGACTACTCCAAATCACCTTCTTCTCTCTAATGTGTTTGGAATAGGTTTACCATTTACCAGATCATTTGCTCCATCATCTTCCCAGGGATCAAGGTGAAGAGAAACGACCTATGGTTTCCTGGATCCTCTTGCTTGTCCTTTTTGAAAATATGAGTGACATTTACTTTCTTCTGTTTCTCAGGACTCTCCCAGTTGCTTTGACCTTTTTAAAAATAATCAAAAGTAGTCTTACCATGTCATTGGCCAACTCCTTCAGCACTTGTGTGTGCATCCTATCATGTCCCATGGACTTGTATATGTCAGGTTGTTTTGAAATGTTCCCTTATTTGATTGTCCTCTACTGACAGGTTAGTCCTCCTTGTTCCAGAATGTCCCACTGACCTCAGAGGCCTGGGATTGCTGAAGACAAGGTCCTACCAGAAAAGACCAAAGTAAAAGAGAATTTGAGTACTTTGGCCATTTTCATTTTGTTCCTCAGCAGGTCCCCTGTCCCATTCAGCAATGGACTCCCATTTTCCCTAGCCTTCCTTTTGCTGCTGATGGCCCCGTAAAATCCCTTCTCATTGTTCTTCTTGTCTCCTCAATGTATTCAATTCCTGATGCCCCTTGCTTTTCCTAACCCCATCCCTGCACTTTTGGCCAGTGTTTCTGTGTGAATCACAGGTCACCTCCTCCTTCTTTCACATTTTGTATGCTTTTTTTCTTGACTTTGGTCAGGAACACCTTGTTCCTGATCATGCATGTCTTCTGGACCTGTGATTGACAATCTCCATGTTGGAAAAGACCGTTCTGGCACTTGAAGGAGGTGATCCTTGAAAATCAGTCAGCTGGATGTCTGGATACTAAGGTGAAAAAATATATTCAAGATAGTTATGAAATACACCTACCTCTCACTGAGGAATTAGTTATAAACTCCATTCTCTGTTTCACTGGCTGAGTAGACTTAATTCTCATATTTCCTTCTGCTGTGGCTTTTGCAGGATAAGGCAGATAGGGTTTGGAAGGGTTGGGGAACATCCTGTTTCTGTGCATTGTGCTGGTTTTTAACTAAATTTTTAGTTAAAAATTTTAAAAACACTGCCTAACAGTGTGTATTATAGTTACAATATAATTCAATAATAAATTAATGAAAATACTGTAAGGGGAAAAGCAGTCATCAAGAGCTGAAGTCACTAGTTATATGACTGTTGTCATTCTGAATTACATTTTCAAGTGTTCAGCTCCAAACAGACATAAAATCTAGTATTGTTTTTTTTTTAATCTCCAAGCATTAGCAAATCTACTTTTAGAAAGGTAATCCTTTCTGAAAAATACAAAATCCTAAGCTTTCCTACCTTGAATCATGTACAGAAAATTCCTTAAATTGTTCATAAATTAAAGTGAATGTATGCATATATTAAAAAAAATCTATCTGTTTACAGATATATATCTACACATTTATATACAGACATGGTCACTGTTACCAACCCTTATTACATTCCCATGGTGTTTTCCTTAAAAGCTCAGCTCCTAGAGTCAGGTAATTACATGAATCTCTAGTTGAATTTTAAATGAAAGTTAGTTCTTGCCTGACATATTCAGAGACTCAAATGCAATATAAACAATGTTTGAAACAAATGAGGATTTCAATGTCTAAATGAGAGGCAAGGACTTAAATACTTCAGAAGTTTTATAAAGCAACACAAAACAAAACCAGCCAACTTCCAATTTCATTTATTTTAAACTGATGTCTTGATTTTTTGACACTTCCTCACCATTTTTTGGTAGAAACTTATCAATAACTGCATGGTGATAGCAATATTAAAAGCCACAGAAGAGGTGGGAACATGTTTGAAAAGTCTCAAATTCTTTAATCACTACAAACCCATCTGAATTGAAGGCTGTGGCATGGAGGGAGTCAAGGGAGAGCAGAGTCTGATGAGCCAATGGTAATCACAGCAAGAAAACTCAAGCACAGAGTCAGCTGGAGCAGAAGGCAAGCTTCTCTGGCCTTCAGGACTTTTCAATCCACATGGTGCTTTTTGGGTATTTACTAGGCTAAACCAATGCCAGTGCAGGGGACTTGGTACAGGACTGGAGACCCTGAACAGCTCCTGTGTAGGGACCAACCTCCTCTCTGTCAGATTCAAACAGCAGATGGAGTCCCTCAGGCCCAGATATGCATATTTGACAGCAGTAGTTAGACCCCACAAAATTTAATTTGTCCCTAAATCTTTGCTCTCTGTAAGCATTAATCCTCATGAATGATTGTAAAGTAGATAATTGCTTGAGGAAAAAGTCTGTCAGGATTAAACTAGACAGTTAGGCTCAACTCAAACAGGCTACAGCATGTATCATGGTTGACACAGGATGATTGCTGAAGCTGTTCCTCAGGGCTCAGACACCTGGGTTAACCAGCATCAGCTACAGGACAGTGAGCAGGAAAAGCACCTCTTCTTGTTCACAGAAAATGATGCCTCTGCACAAAAATAACACAGTATTCTGACAGCTTGTATAATCTTGTGCTGGAAAATAATTTCTTCTGGCAGGAAGATATCCAGTCCTAGCCTCTGTCCTGAGACTTAAAAATGAGAGGAAAACTTCCTATCAAGCCTTTGATGGTACAGCACCATGTACAGAAAAAAAAAATCAATGAGATCTCCTGCTGTGAGAGGACAGGAATGAAACTATTCTGAGAAGGAAGGTGTAGAGTATAGTAGGATAGAAATTAGGGCAGAGTACAGAATTAGAATAGAATAGTTGGCAGTAATGGCAGAAGTGATCATGATGTGATCAGAAGCTTGGCTGAAGCCACCAACCCATATCAGTTATGCCATCTGGCATGTGACAAATTCATTTCAGTCATCACTGGCTTGGGTTGATTTAAAATGAGAGATGGAGCAGGGCAGGGCTCTGTGGCTATTGCTGGTACTGTGTTCCCAACAGAGTAGCCAGCTTGCAATGTTAATATTTGTTCTCTCTTTCCCCAATTTAGAATAATTAAGACTTCAGGAAAAGAAAACGTTGTTAAGAAATATAGTGGTTATTTGGTTATATTTACAAAACTGCGATGTTCTTCTTATTCTGATAATTGCTTCAACTAAGTCTGTGGATGGTAGCTTTATTATGACATTTGTCAGTATCTGTTACTGTAAAAATCTCTGATAAATGCCCTCAATTTCTCTTTTAGAGTAATGTCATTAGCCTCTAAGTGAACAAAATACTTAATTTGTTGCCATAGCACTGGAGTTTGAGAAATACATAGTGACCTGCATAGAGAACTAGCACAAACCTGATAAGCATGTACTAGGTGTATTAAAAAAAATCAGAGATTGGATTTACTGCTCTAAGAGAGACAGTCTTTGTGACAGCTACCATGCCATGTTTGTGAATTAGATGGCTGAATTAGATGTCCCCCCAATAAGCTGGATTTGTTTCTTACCATTAATCTCAGACTTGTGCAGAACTATATTATGAACTATATAACTGACCTACGTGGCTAAAGTAAAAGCACATTGTAATAGTAATAATGAAACCAGAATGACAAGTGTCAAAATACTGTCTTCTTAAACCTATTAGAGTGTCATGGCCCAAAGGCAAAAACATAAACATGGAATTCAAGAAATCCAGAGCATAATATTTATTTTTGCTTTAGTGTTTCTACACCAAAGTAAAAATAATTGTAAGAGGCCTCTGCTGGGCAAAAACTGTGACAGAGAGCAAAAGAAGGCATGAGGCTTTCATGAAGGAAGTGAGGAGAAAACATGTGATGTTCAACGCTGCTAAGGTGTTTTACCACATCTGTACCATGTTTGGGACCCATGCTACATCAAATCCCTGGCTCAGTAACAAGTAGAGCTGACTGATCTTGCTTGTGTGCTTGAAGACTACCTCCCTAGGAGCCAGCTGAGCCAGCTAGTCTCTCCTGCAAATGGGTTTGCTCCACATGGGAGTCCAGGAGCTATGCAAGATGAAATGAAGGGTGGGCTATCAGAGACAAGAGCCTTGGTGGGAAACACAAAGTGAGATAGGTTAATATTCTGTATTTTTTTGCAAGACAGACATGAAATTATTAGAAGACATTCCTTTATAACACATGTAACATGGCTTAACAAGTATTATTTATTGTACTTTTCTCAAATATAGTCTAAAATTCAAAGTATTTATCATAGCATTTATTGTAAATAGCAATCATAGGAATATATCTCAAATGTCACAAATTTTAATCTAGACATTGAAAATAAAGTGAAGTATCTAATAATCATGATCTGCAGAAAAACATTTATCCTTGTGGAAGAGTAGATTGGGTGGGGGAACACACCAAAAGAACATGAATGTAAACATTCAAGAGAAACTTTGGAGAAAATCATCTTAAACTCTCAGAATTTTTGTCTGAGATGACTATAAAAATATTTTTTTTCTGTATTTTCTCCCATTTATTTAGTTTAAAGCTGTGATGGTACCAGTAGGAGTCGACACAGGCAGGACACAGGAACAACCTCAAAACCACAGATTAAATGCAGAGAGTAAATTCGCTTCTGTTACCTCGCCAACCAGGGATCACCGAAGCAGCAATCAGAAGAGACACACAAGTGGGAACACAAGTACTGTGAAGCTTGATCCATGCAATAGGATCACCCAACCTGCTGTTTTCTCCTGTATTTCAAGGATTTGCACAAGCATAATTTACCACTGTGCTTTAACCTTGCCCACAGCAGGGCAAGAATCTCAAGCATGTTCAGTAGGGTGCCTCTAAGGCTACCACAGGCCTATGTTATCTAAACACAGATGTTCTACCTGTCTAACACACAAGGTCAAACAACAATTAGTATGATATATGTGTTTTTTTGACACCCAAACTGCAGGTCACTCGAGCGTGTTTACAATCCTCCTCGCCGATCTTCCATTTCCCGCAGTACCTGATGACAGATCCAGACTGGTACATGCAGACTGGTCCAATGCAGCAGGTGATGGCAGAGTAGACCTGACACTATTTTGCATCCCTACACCATTTAATTTCTGGGTCCAGTTCCACAAAATCTGCAAAAGCTTTCTGACCTGGGACCTGGGATGGATAATAGTGTGTGAACTGGGACTTTAGTTAGCTATATTCTATATCAGGGCTTTCAAGAGAATCCAAGTTTGGAGTATTACAGTTGATTGCAGCCTTCACATCTTAATTTTGAAGGGATGTTTTCTATTTCTTTTTATAGCTTGGAAGGTGGCACAGGAACCATCCAGCTGGTCCAAGAACTGCCAGTGAAAATGCTGAGAATCCAATGATCGTCTCCTAAATTAAAGGAAATAAGGTTAAATAAAGCTAAAAAAAAATTGAAATGCTCTCAGAACAAGCTGCCTATTGCCAAAAAAATTATTTGATATTATTGAACTTGTACAGCTATAATTCCAGAGATGTGGCAGATTCTAATGGAAAAATAATCCAGGGAGGATTATTTTCTGTGTTCAGACTAGAAACACTAGTAAGCTGTGGCAGTTGGAAAGAAAAGTACCTTAGTCCATGCCATGCACAAATAATCTTATACAAGACACATTTAAAAGCATAAAAGACACATTACAAGATAAGAAATTTTTTATTATTTTCCTACAGATTCAGTACATTTTGTGGCTATTTCTTGAGCTTTTTAGTAACAAAATCTTTATAGAAACAGTATTATTTGCTTAATATTTACAGTAGTGCAGCTTACCACTAATCATATACAAGAGCTTTGAGTATCTACTAACACTGGGAGTTGATATAATAGGGGAGAGAGTTACTGCTTAATTTAGTTAAGTAATTTTACTTAGCCTTCTATAATCATATATTAGAGTATTTGTGCTGGGGACTATAATAAAGCTTATGAAAGGCACCCCACAGAGATGGGGTTTGGTGATGCTTGTCTCTGTAGGATACCATGACAGCATTCCCTTCCTCTCAAGCACAAACTTGCCGTCTAGGAGGTGGGAGGAGAGGAACTTCTTTGAGGGGAGTTCCTGGGGAGAGCTGGTTTCTAGTTGGGATGAATAAAGCAAGAGAAAGCTCCCCTAAGAAGATGGACTTGCATGAGGAAAAAAAAAAGTGAGGGCTCAAAGACAGAACTCACCACTAGTCCCACTTTTTCCTCAGGTGGGGAGCTGTGGATCCAGCAGCTGCTCCGACTGGCAGACCTGAAGTGGAAGAGTCTGGATCCATAGTGCATTATAGGGCCCATTATTTTATCCTGGTGAGGGGAGAGCTGGGGTATCCTGACCAGCCAGTAACTACTGCTGCCAGGAGTTTCCCAGTCCTTTGTTATTTTCTATTGCTCAAAGCCTGTAGAATGCTACTTGTTTTCAGTGAAGGCAAGGAGTCCATCTGCTTGACAGTCAAGTCCCTTAATTTTTAAGTTGGATGCAAGATGCACCAACACAACCAAAATATACTAGGTAGCTGCGGTCATCACCAGCAGGAGTGTTTGTATGTGCCCACTTACTGAGAAAGGAGCACCTTGGGTTGATGCAGCTCTCCCACAGGCTCACTGAGTTACACTGATGAGCCCAATGGGTGGGAGGAGTCTGTCTCTGCCTATGATGCTGTGAGGCAAAATGGAGAAAGCTGTCTGTCCTCCCATCTACTAGAGCTTTAAAAGTATTTTCACCCTATATTCATATGCATATGTCTTCTCACACAAATTGTTTTCACCCCAATGACATGCTCTCTGGAATTCCCATTTGCAGTTCACATACCACCTTCATTCAAAAAACAATGTGATCCAAAAATGACCAGTACCTTGAATAAAATAATTCCTGCTCCCACTGCAGAGAATATCTCCTTCCTTCACATCCTACCCAAAACATCACTAATCCAGGTGAATCTGTGATGCAGCCTGCTGAGAGAGCAGCCGTCCACAGCAGGGAAATGTCGAGTCACCTGCCTGTGTTCAGCATCAAAGCAAAATATGTGACAGGGCAACAGACAAAGGCAGAAAAATGTTATCAGCATTCCTGGTAGGAGACTATTTAAGAACAGAAGTAAATGGGCAGGTACAGAGAGGGATATATCTACTCCTCTGCCTGCAGAATTGGATGGATGCTGGAGAGCCTCAGTGTCGTGGCACTAAGCCCACGCGTAGGAGTTATTAGCCCAGGACCAGCACCATGCTAATTAAGGAATTCATCTTGCAAACTGGCACTGGTTTATAGCTAGTCAGCTTTCAGCCATAGCAATCAGACATCTGACAGTCTACACATATCTGTATCAAATGCGTTACTTGTGCACTCGGAGGTGAAGAGGAAGGAAAGTAAATAATCCTCCCCTCAGCTACAGACTGTGCCATTTCCAGCATGCATGTTTTTGATAGATGAAATCTGCACTTGTTACCTGCAGACATGAAGATTTTCTCACTCAGTGACAAGATTTTTACTGTGGTAAACATGCAACTTATTAGATTTCCTACTCATTTCTAAATACATTTTATTAATTTCTTTTGTATTTTCTCCTGCCTTTAATTACCAAAGACTGAATCAGATAACTATGTCCTTCTCTAGGCTTCTCATCAGAGTACATACTTGAAGCTCACTTCCAAGACAGCCTGCAACGCACTGATGGTGGGGAGAGCCTCATCTTGAGGTTTTTATGACAATGTGCAGAATATGTTAGCAAGGTGTAAAGAACAAAGAGTTAGCAGTCTACACAAACAAACAGTAATGGATCAGTGATGAAACAGACATATCTGGCATGTATTTTGCCAGAGCTGAAGCTTTGTTATCTTGGTAAATTTACCTGCTTGATTTTATAAAGGAAGAGACAGCAAGGTTTTTTTCCTGTAAATTCTCCTCAAACACTAAATATCCTGCCTATCTGTAACAAATACAGATTTTTTCCAGAAATAAATGTCTGAGAGATGTTTCTAAAGTAATTGGACAGCAAAAGACTGATTTGCCTTCATCAGCTGTGTCAATAGCAGCTAAGCGTGCAGTAGATAACCCTAAGCAACCAAACTTCCTGAGACAGACCCTCTAACACCAAGAGATTGTCCTAGATATATGATACTTTAAAATAGCAGGTTTTGAGTTCTATTACTTGTTTTCAGGTATTTAGCTTTCATGTTTCATGCTTTCTACATTAACTTTGTTTTTCTCTACAGTTGTGAGGATTGAAAACTTCATAATGTTATACTCAGACTCTGCTTTCATCTTCCAGCTATCTCCTGCTCAGACCCCACTAGCATTAATTCCTGTATTAACATGAAATCAAACAAACATTGTCCTACAATAGCAACAGTGGCTCTTATTTATCTTCCCAAGTTGGCTATTATTTTCCAACTTTCTGAACATTTACTAGAAAATGAGACATAATCTTATTTTTCTAGTAAACCTTCCAACTATTGAGCTGTAAATCCAAACCACTCTTCCCCATTACCATAGCCCTCTGCTCAGAATAGGGCTGCACCCTGGCATTTACAGCCAGTCTACATATTTTCACATGGCAGTGAACAGTGTTTGTCAAAGTGCCCCCAAAAAGGCCCAGCTGTTCTTGGCTCAGCACTGGCCTTTTTGTTCCTCACTCAGTCTTGTCTCATTTAGTGCCTGGGGATGCTCAGCGTGCTCCAGCCTCCTCCATACTTGCATTCCCAGCCCTCCAGACAGTACTTATACACCACTTGGGAACATTAGGAGTTTTCTCACATCAAGTTTAGATTTTAAAAGCCTTTTGCTGTTCTTAGGTTTGTTATTGGTCCCTTCAGTGTGGCAGGAGGACTTCAAAGCTCTCCTGGCACAGTTTATCTAGCAACTTTCTTCTTCTCTGCTACTGTAAAATACATTCTGTATTTTTCCCAACATACCTGATCCCATAGCATGGTTCCTTGCTCTTTCACTCTTTCAGTTCCCTGCTTTTAAGAGTATTGGCTCTTTAGACTGCTATCACTGGAATAATTTAATTTTGAATTGCTGAAGTTCCTTCTGATATATTCATTAACTAGTACCATTTCCTCACACCTTAGCTGAGAGGGCAGGTTCTGTAGCCACTGGTACAGTGACACAGATTATAACATCCCCATCAGTGCCAGAGCAAAGCACTTTCCATTACCATATAGAGACAGCAGCAACCCCCTGATGTCGTAGCTCATTTTCTCCCTCATCTGCTCCTGGGCAAAGATTGTAGATAACAGTGTAAGGCTGTTTCAGCATTTTGATTTCTGCATGAGGCCACTTGTTGATTTTATTTTAAAAGGTGAGTCAAGCATGCAGGAAGTTAATGCTGGGCCGTATTTTCCATGGTACTTGGCTTTGGAATATCACCTGTTTTCTGACGGAACCAGGCCTGCTGCACAGAGAATCCTTAACCCTCCCTGGACACAGACCGTGACATCCTTATTTTAGAGAATGGAACACACAGAACTACAACATATGTTGAAACTACTCTGAAAATTAACACTTATTATCACTAATCTACAGATCTGCAGTTTTTTCAGTCCTGATAAAACTACTCCAATGACATTATTGGAGAGAGAATTTTTAACCACACTTTTTTTTTTCTTTTTTTTCCTGTTCTATCTATAGTAATACTGCCATAAATAAACTCCTTGATGTTGTCTTTGAAAAAATATTTTTGATCATCTTTGCTTTTTCACAAAGGAAAACATTTCAATCAGAGTGAACAAGTTTCTGAACTATCACTGTCATAAAAGATTACAGATGCATCAAAATACAGAGGAATTCAAACCAGGGTCTTACAGCAATATAAATGTAGGACAGTTATTCTGATGGTGGTATTTAACCTGTAGAACTATAGTGAAATGTAAGTATCTAATTTGAAAAATGAAGTAAGCACAATTACTTTGAGTTTTTTGGAAGGTTGAGGTTTATTTTCTTTTAATGAGAAATTTCTAACATTGTAACTTTCCCTCCCTAAGTTTCATATTTGAAAGACAATAAATTCTGTTTGTACTATTTGGACAAATTGAAAAAAACTGCTTTCAATAAAATAAAATACATCTGATATTTATAAATGTGGCTGACATCAGTAATATTCTATTTCTCCATAAATTGCAGCTCAATAGTAAGTATAGTGGAATATAGAGGCTTTGGTGCTGATTCTACTCTGAGCTGCTTCTTCAGATACAGAAGAACAGCTTTTGCAAATTGCAATTATTCCAATATCTGTTTCTAGCACAGACACAATCTAGATGTGTTTCAACATAAATTCATGACCTTTTCATTATGAACCTAACTGAAACATTTGTTTAAGCTGCACAGGCTTTTGAGGGCACTTTTGGAAGAAAAGACTAGAAGAGGGTTTTTTTGAATGCAGCAATGGAACTTGGCCAAAGTGAATCCACCCCCACACACACACACCCCCACAGGGCAACCTGGGTCTCTCCGAGCCACGACCTGGGCTTCTCTGTCTATACAGGGCTCACACTGCCACCTGGGGACGGCAGAGCTGAGTCCCGCTCCCGTTTTGAAGTGGAAAAACTCATTACCTTGAGTGCAGTTTCTCCTGAATAACAACAGTATATCAGAGAGAAGAACCAAATGCTGGAATCAGATGCTGGATGTTTATAATCCAGAATACATGTTGCTCAAGAGTATTGCCCAAGCAGGCTTAACAACACTGTAGTCATCATTGCATTTTGAATAAACAAACCATTTACAAGCTAGTTATAGACTGTGTTTTGCCTTGAGCATTTACGCAGTAACGAAAGGCAGGTACTTCTTTAACATAATCCTTCTTCTAAGAAAAGCAGCTGATTAATTCTTACATCCTTAAACACACACATAACAAATTTCTTGTCCATAATTCTACAACTGTTTTTATTCTGAAGGAAAAAAAAAATTAACATTGTCCTTCCTCTCAGCTGCAGTCTCCAATGAATTCATCTCCCACACTGGAAAGAAAGGCATGTACATTAGATTCCTGTAAGTACTGTTTCAACATTTAATAAGCCTGCTCTCCATAGTGTGTATAAAAAAGGAGAAATTATGTTCTCGAATTTGTCAGTGTATTAGCCTAGGAACAATAAATATGGTATCACTGACATAAGAAAATAATGGATTTAGTTACAAAGACATATAAATACTGAGGAATATGAACAAAGAGGAAAGGAGAGAGCAGTGAAGAAGGTTGTGAGAGACCTTGGTATCAGATCCTGCTTCTTTAGTTCCTATTCTCAAATCCATTTAATTTTAGAAATATCAATAATGGCAAATGGAGAAGTCATTCTCTATTGTTGTCACTCGAGATCGTTGTTAGCTGTTCCTTTTAGGCCCTCAGGTACTGCAGAAATTGGGAAGCTGTTCTTGCAATGATTCAGAGCCTGCCTGCCAATTTGTGTAAAGTTTAGGATGAGTCCACATCCAGTTGTCAGAAACTCATACTCAGTCCCAAATTTTACTTATGATATATAAAGGCTAAAGAGCAATCAGGCTCAGCCTTCTTGCTGCGAGACTGTACAAGGGGAAAAAGAAGTAAATAATTTAGTTTATCATCATGTGGGTACAAAAACCCAGCCGTTTGATTAACTGCCTGAACAGAGCACAGAGAAGAGATAATGGAGAGCGCTTCCTAGGTGGATAAGTTAAGCACAATCAAGTGCTCATGTGCTTTGGACAAGAGCACTGTTCTTCAACAGGATGACATGCTCTCAGGTTTCCAATAACTGCACTAACAAGGAAGACTCCACAATATGGAATTTACTTTACAGAGTCCTGATTCTCTCCTTAAGTCTGGGTAAGTAATACCAGTGACACCAGAAGACCCAGAACAGGTTTAGTATGCTATTGCATAAAGCTTATTAAGAAGGGCACCAGGTGACATTTTGTCATTTACTTCAAGCTCAGTTGTATCAACAATAGTAAAAATAAACGAGATGAGAAAAAAAAATACTATAACATATGAATACATCAATCTGTGTTAGAATCAAATGTATTC